CGGCCGAGCGGCCGAGGGGCTGCAGGCTGGGCCGCGGGGCCTGCGGCGGCGGCGTCCCGCGGGAGGCCGGGCGGAGGCGGGCGGGGGCCGCGCCGGGCGGGGCGCTGGCGGGGCTCAAGTCGGGCGCGGGGGCTCGGGGCCGCGCTGCGAGGGGTGGTCGCCGTTCGGCCGCGGCCGGGTGCGGAGAGGACGGGGCCTCCGCGGGAGCGGCCGCGCAGCTGGCGTGTGGGCTGGGTGGTGGGCGGCGGGGGTCCGGAGCGGACGCTGGGTCAGCAGGTGCTGGCGGCAGCGCGGTCCGCGGCCTGCGGCGCCCGCGGCTCCGGGCTGCGTGTGGACGCGAGCATCCGGCGCTGCCCGTCGGCTCGGGAGCGTTTGCAGGCGGCAGGTTCTGGCAGCCAGACCTGCCTGCCGGCGGTAGCGAGCCGCTCCGGGACCTGCACGGCCCCGAGGGCTTGTCGGTCCTCTCGCTCTTGTCTCTCTTTAACGTTGTTGGGAGGGGGGAGGTGTCAGAGGGCTGCTGCCTTGAACAGTTACTTTGTTTGTATTCTTGTAATTCACGGCTCGGGATATTTTGTGGGTGATTTGTGTTCACTTCATACCTACGTTCGAATAAATACTTGGGTTCACCTGGAACTGCTGGTGGTTTGATACGTAATTTTATGCCTAAATGACATAAAGCAACTGGTGTATTTCTAAGGATCAAAGCACATCCGATAGCTGGATGCATTGCTGGTAAGTTATTACAGAAAGATATTTTCGCGTATTTGTGAAAGATGGATTGCAATCTTAATGGGGGGAAGAAATAGGCTTGCTGAAAGGTGCACTTTTGTCTCCTTTGCAAAAACATCCGTGCGGCCTCCGGTGAAAGCGAGTGGGAGAGGTTGAGTAAGAGTTCAGCAGGCACCGAGAGAGGGGAGGGCTTCTGTGGCCTTGCGGGGGAAATGCAAGAGGGTGGGATTGTCAAGTTCAGCCTTAAGTTAATGGGCTGATGCTAGCGATGGAGAAATTATATTTTAAAATCCGAAATCTCAGTATACACCTCGATTCTGACTGTGGGGAAAACTAGAATAGTAAAGATGTTTTTTAAGGAAGTGAATGGTTTTGGCAGAACTGCTTTTCAGAGTTTTGATGTGGTTTACAGCAGGACAGCTGGTATGATTTGTTTTACTGCTTGTCGCTGTGTTTAGATTTTAGTCACAGAGGCTCACTGAATGCCATGAATCTAAATTCTACCCAGTCTCCAAAAGGTGGGATAGTTTTCTTTCTAAAATATAATTTATGCAGCTGACCATTTTCCCCTTTAAGTCTTTGACATTACCTGATACTGATAAGGTTTTGTTCGGTGTTCAGCTTTGTGTTACTGATTTTACCATAAAAGCTGTTTCTTTAGATGATTACTAGTTTCCAGTTAGTTCTTTCAAGTAGTCATTGTATTGTCAGAAAAGTAAATAATTTGAAATGCTTTAAAAGATACTTTAAGGGGCGCCTGGGTGGCTCAGTTGGTTAAGCGTCTGTCTGCCTTCCACTCAGGTCGTGATCCCAGGGCTTGAGTGGGGCATGGTCGCCCTGCTCAGTCGGTAGCCTGCTTCTCCCTCTCCCTCCCCCTGCTGCTCCCTCTGCTTGTGAGTTCTCTCTTTCTGTCAAATGAAGAAATAAAATCTTAAAAAAGATACTCTAAAAAAGATTGTTAAAAAAATCACATATCCAACCAGTGATAAAATTTACCTTGTCTCGGGCGCCTGGGTGGCTCAGTTGGTTAGGCGACTGCCTTCGGCTCAGGTCATGATCCCGGAGTCCCGGGATCGAGTCCCACGTCGGGCTCCCGGCTCCGCGGGGAGCCTGCTTCTCCCTCTGACCCTTTCCCCTCTCGTGCTGTTTCTATCTCTCTCTCAAATAAATAAATAAAATCTTTAAAAAAAAATTTACCTTGTCTCAATTTATAAGTTTGACAATAAAAGATATTTTTATTGTATGAAACTTAGAGTACAGATTGATTGATTTATTTTACACGTTTAATTGTTCTCAGGCACATGTAGAGAGAATGGTGTAATAAGTCCCTGTTTACCCTCATCCAGCTTTAACAGTTGTTAACTCATAGCCGGACTTTCTCTGTATCCCCCAAACCTAGATTTCATGTCATTTTGACTTGAATATTTCAGTGTGTATATTTACATACATTTTTTAAAAAGATAAACACAAATACCACTATCACAAAAAATTAATAATTTCTCATTACCTTCAAATATCCAACCAATGTTAAAATTTTTCTTGATTGTGTCAGTCTTTTTTGTAACAGTTGAATCAGGATCCAGATGCTCTTTATACATTGTGACTTGTTTTAGTCTGTAGGTCCCCCTCCATCATTTATCTCCTTGTAATTTATGTGTTGGTGAAACTCCATGATTTGTCCTGTGGAGTTACACACAGTCTGTATTTTATTCTGTATTGTAGTTTATACAGAAATGACTGTGCACTGCTAGATAAATCTAAAGATGTGATCAGATTCAGATTTGATTTATTTTTAGCAAAAAGACTTCATAGGTTGGTAGGCAGATAATGATTAGTAGTCATTCTTGTTAGCAACCCTTAATGTTCAATGCCTAGAGCCCTTATTTATTTATTTGTTTGTTTGTTTATTTAATTTAGAGAGAGTGCGTAAGCAGGGAGGGGCAGAGGGAGAAGGAGAGAGGATCTCAAGCAGTCTCCCATGCTCATTGTGGAACCTACCGTGGGGCTATCTCATGACCTGGAGATCACGACCTGAGCCGAAATCAAGAGTTGATTTACTTAACAACTGAGCCACCCAGGCACCCCAAAGTCATCATTTTATTAGGCATTGGAAGGTGTTGATATTTTAATTCTATAACTTCATTTGTTAGCTGGAATGTGGCTTTTTTTTTTTTTAAGATTCCATTTATTTATTTGACAGAGACACAGTGAGAGAGGGAACACAAGCAGGGGGAGTGGGAGAGGGAGAAGCAGGGTTCCCGCAGAGCAGGGAGCCCGATGCGGGGCTCGATCCCAGGACCCTGGGATCATGACCTGAGCCGAAGGCAGACGCTAAATGACTGAGCCACCCAGGCACCCCTGGAATGCTTCTATAAAGAGAAAGGTCCTTGGGCGCCTGGGTGGTTCATTTGGTTGGGCTGCTGCTCTTGGTTTCGGCTCAGGTCATGATCTTGATGTCCTGGGATGGAGCCCCGAATCAGGCTCTGCACTCAGTGGGGAGTCTGCTGGAGATTCTCTCAGTCTCCCTCTGCCCCTCCCCCTGCTCTCTCTGTCTCTCTCTCAAATAATAAGTCTTAAAAAAAAGAAAAAAAGAAATGCCCTCTCCATAATTTGGTTACCCTGAATTTTAGCTCTTTTGGGAAAAGTAGGATAAATGCTTAATTTATCCAGTAAGTTACTAATTCTCAAAATAAGTTGGGATCCTCTGAGAGTAGTGAGTTGTGTTATGTGTTTGTGTCATTGTGAACTCCTGGATTTAAACATATTTGATATGGTTCAGTCCATTGTAGGTATTATCCTTATTGATGCTGAGATTGTCCGATCTTTGTCCAATAGGAATCTGTTCTGTTTGCTTCCTAAATCCTTTAAACAAGACTCTAAAAGTCTGATCTTTCCGGTGTGACAAACTGCACCAGGCTCATCTTACACATTTTCTGTCCCAAGCCCTGGAATCATCCATTTCTCCAAGGGACCTTGGTTTCTTTTAATGAAAAGCAGTATTTAGTAATGACAGTCTGTGTCCTGGGGTTGTTCACTGCTGCTAGGTTGATCTTTGTTTCTACGTCTTTCCAGTGCACAGATCACAGTTACTAGGCAGAGTTCTATTTAACCTTCTTGATCTTACTCCTTTATCTTTTTTTCTTCGAAGACAGACCTCTTGATTCTAATTACTCATTTTTTTTAAAAAGATTTTAGTCATTTATTTGAGAGAGCAAGCACAGAGGGAGAGTGAGAGGGAGAAGCAGACTCCCCGCTGAGCGGAGAGCCCGACGCGGGGCTCCACCCCAGGACCCCGAGACCAGGACCCGAGCTGAAGGCAGATGCTTCACTGACTGAGCCCCCCCCGGCATCCCTAATTACTTACTGTTTTATCCCACACTGTTCACCTCTCAGTCTTAGAAGAATATGAAGACTATCATCAACTAATAAAAATTGAGTTTTTTGCATCCACATTAGAGATATAAAGTCAAATTACTGTGTTTTAAAGTCACTTAGAATAGTTACTCTGATTTTGCTACTGGGTGCTTAGGTTTTTGGGCTTTTTTTCTCCTAGTATTTAGGGATTACTTTTTAAAAAATTTTTTTTATAATTATGTAAAATATTAAAAAAAGTCTTTCAAAATCATATGTATGAAACAAGGCATAGTCCACAAAGTACGGCTTCTTTCCATCCTTTCATCTTCACCTGTCCCTCTTCCCTACAGATAACCTTTTTACATTTTAATTTTATGGTTACATTCATAGTTCCGCTTTATCAGATAGATGGTAATGTATTATACACATGTTCTTTAAAAAGTTTTTATTGTGGTAAAATATGTACAACATAAACTTTGCCATCTTAATGTTTGCAAATGTACAGTTCCCTGGTATTATATCCGTTCCCATTGTTGTTCAGCCATTGCCACCGTCCATCCCAGAACTCTCTTTGTGAAGCTGGGTCTCTGTGCCCATTAAACACATTCTCCCCTGCCTCGAGCCCCTGTCTGTCCTTTCTGTCTCTGTGATTTTAACTACTCTAGGTATCTCATGTAATTGGCATCATGCGGTATTCATTCTTTTGTGGCTGGCTCATTTGCATAATATCCTTAAGCTTCATCCAGGTTGTAGCAGGTGCAGAATGTCCTTCCTTTTGAAGACTTAATAATACTCCATTATGTAGATACAGCACTTAACTGCTTTTTAATGTAAATACTCAATGTAAAAATTTTATCCACTAGTGGCATTTTTTCCCTTATGCTATGAACTGATGAGAATTTTCTGGTACAGTTTGAGTTATCAGACTGGAAGGAAATCCATCACATAGGTGTCATGTCATACTCAGAAATTCTGTTGAGAAGATTCCAGCATTCTGTATTATGTGGTGGTTGACAGCTACCGGTATTAAAGATTTCAGTTTTGCATTTTTTTTTTTTTTTTTAAATAGCTGCCATTTCAGCCCCTCAATTACAGCAGTACTGTTTTGGGTTGGTTTCAGCAATGTCATTTTTGAGATAAAATCGTCTAACTCATTGATACAGTGAGTCCATTATTAATCAATTTGTTAACATTACATTTTAGTAATCTGTTTTTTCTCATGTTACCCATTGTTCTCTCACCCATATTTATGTACATGTTCACTGAGCCCAGATATTTAAGCTTTAAAGTCTAAATTATTAGACCTCTAGATTCTAAGTGTGTGAAAAATAGTGCCTATGGTCATAGTTGTTAATGCCGTTTTGCCAACTTGAGTTTTGTCAGTTCTCCCTTCATAATACATCCTGAATCAGTCCTCCTGTCCCGTCTTCACTGTCACCTCCTGGGACCCAGCAGCCCTCACGTCTCCCTTGAACTAGCACAGCAGGCTGCAGCTGGTTTCCTTGAGTCCTTCTACCCATTCTCTACCTTTCAGCCAGGGTGATTTACGTAGAAGGTAAATTAGATCCTGTTCTGTCTTGCTTAAAACCTTTGGACTGATAAAAGTGGTCGCCTCTGCGGATGGGGATCTGTGTGGCTAGGGGTCAGGGTGGGAGGGGGAATTACTTTTCACATATGAGCTTATATATCTTTGGATATACGTTTTAGTTCATGTAGTTGGAGCACATATTCAGAATAAAGTAAGTAATCTTAAAAACAAAAACCCAGTGACTTCCCATTATATTTTGTGACAGAATCCAAATTTCTTACTGTGATCTTCAAGCTCACTTTCTCCCTTCTTCCAGTTGCTCATTTATACTGCATTTACAGTGGTTTTCCTGGAACCTAGCCCTTGCAATTTCGGGAAGCGTACATTGATCCCTTTGCCTAGAATGAACACTTTTATACCACTCTGCATGGCCAGCTCCTCATTTAGGCCCTGCATAAATATCCCTTAAAGAGACTGTCTGCCCTCTTTCAAATAGGTTTCCCCTGTTATTTACTAACTCATACACTTCTGGTGTCCTTCAATTTTGATGATTTATTTATCTGTTTACTCTCTTTTTTTTCCCCCACGGTAATGATACTTCATGAAGGCAGAGAAGCATATTTATCCACTGTTTAAGCTGGCCCCTTTGTGTTCTCCTAGAATGAGTTCTGAGTCATAGACTAGACCATGACACTTCCCTGCTTAGAGCTTTTCAGTGATCCCTGGTCCATAAATCCTGAACTCCTGGACCAGCCTTTCAAGGTTTGGCCTCTTCCCATGTATATCTCCAGTTTTATCTCTTACAGCACCTTGGTTTTGCTTCCCACTGTGTTCTGAGCATGGTGAACTGGCACACTGTAGGTTTCCAGTTTGTGGAATGAATGATTTAAGATTCGGTCTCTTTAAGTCTTTGGGAAACTAAGTCACACTCTTGGGAAAATGATAGCTAAAAACATAAGGTCATAAAGCTTCAGGGAAGGCTACATAAAGAGGGTAGAGTTTAAACTTACCCTTGAAAGGTGGGTACAGGGGCGCCTGGGTGGCTCAGTTGGTTAAGTGTCTGCCTTTGGCTCAGGTCATGATCCGGGGGTCCTGGGATTGAGCCCCGTGTGGGGGTCCTGAGATTGAGCCCCGTGTGGGGGTCCTGGGATCCAGGTCCACGTCAGGCCCCCTGTTCGGCAGGGAGTCTGCTTCTCCCTCTGACCCTAACCCCTCTCATGTGCTCTCTCTCATTCTCTCTCTCTCAAATAAATAAAATCTTAAAAAAAAAAAAAAGATGTGGGACTCCATCCAGGGACTCCAGGATCATGACCTGAGCCGAAGGCAGTCGCTTAACCAACTGAGCCACCCAGGTACCCAAATAAATAAAATCTTTAAAAACAAAAGGTCGGTACAGTGGGTAAAGGGGAAAATACCATTCTGTGAAGGAGAAATGGAAGTTTTTTTTTTTTAAAGATTTTATTTATTTGAGAGAGAGAGAGAGAGCGAGCACACAAGGGGGACGGGCAGAGAAAGAGAGAATCTCAAGCAGACTCCATGCTGAACGCAGAGCCTGATGTGGGGCTCGATCCCAGGACCCTGAGATCATGACCTGAGCCGAAACCCAGAGTTGGGCGCTTAGCCGACTGCGCCACCAAGGCGCTCGGAAGTTTTTTTTTAAAGACTGAAGTTTTTGTAACCTTGTTTTATGGCAATGGTTTAGACACACATGCAGGAATCCCATCTGGACCTGCTGAATTCCAACCTCAGACCAGGTGATTCAAATGTATCCCCTAATTAAGAACCCCTGTTCTGTGGCCTGCCTTTTAGAACAGCAGTCCCCCATTCAATCAGTGTCTCAGTGGACCCAGGACCACCATTCTGTGGAGGTGGGGTTACTTCCACATTGGGTATGTGCATCATGTTAAGTGCTTCTGGACTTTCCTCTGAGATTTATCCTTTTCCCTGCTTAACTGATTGTTGAAAAACCAGGAATATTGTTTTTAATTGGCAACATAGAATTTCTAAAATATAGTTTATAAACTTGAATTTTCATCTCTTTAAATATTTGCTATATGCCAGGCATTGTGCTTTTACGTATTATTTAATCTTTACCAGAATCCTGTTAAGTACCTATGATTATCTTTTTAAGATTTTTTTGAGCACGCACGTGCCTGTCCGATTGGGGGGAGGGGCAGAGAGGGAGAATCCCAAGCAGGCCTGCTGAGCACGGAGCCGTCCTGGGGCTCAGTCTTATGATCCCAAGATCATGTCCTGAACCGAAATCAAGAGTTGGACGCTTACCTGACTGAGCCACCCAGGCGTCCCGATTATCTTCTTTTTCAGATGAGAAAACTAAGGGAGTTTAAGTGATTGCCAAGGTCATAGAGTTAGGTGGTGGAGCTGGGATTCAGACCTGGGGTGTGTGACTCCATAGATGATGCTCTTAACCACCAGGCTGTGCTGCCTTCCTTCTATATACTTTCTCAGTCCTAACACTTTAGGCACTTGATTATAACTGTTGGTCCTGGTCTTCCCCATGAGGGCAGGAGCTGTGCCTCATTACTGCTGTATTCCCTGAGTCTAGCACAGTGCCTGGCACAGAGCAGGTGTTTAAGAAATAGTTGTTGCATGAGTGATCTTCAGTTACTTTTTAAAGATTTTATGTATTTATTTGAGAGAAAGAGGGTGATCGGGAGAACACAGCAGGGGTGGGCGGGAGAGGCAGAGGGAGAAGCAGACTCCCTGCTGAGCAGGGAGTCCGATGCAGAGCTCGATCCCAGGACTCCAGGATCACAACCCGAGCCTCACAACCCTAGCTGAAGGCAGACCTTAACCGACTGAGCCACCCAGGCACGCCCCGACTTTTTAAAAGCTTAGTTGTGAGGAATAACGTTCATGGCAAATTGTTAAAGATGGTGTGCCCCATCTGTTCCCTTAAAGCAGTGGTTGGCGAACTTTCTGTAAAGGGCCAGATAATAGATATTACAGGCTTTGAGAGTTGTAGGGTCTCTGTTGCAACTCCTGAGCTCTGCTGCTGCTGCAGGAAGCAGGTGCAGGCAATATGCAAATGAATGTGCATGACTGTTCGATAAAGCCTTCCTTATGGACACTGAAATTTGAATTGATTTCCAGGTCTATCATCTATTATTATTTATGTTTAATATTATTTTTTCAAACTTTAAGTGTCACTTGTAGCTTGTGGTCCTTATAAAAACATTTGGCGGGGCGCCTGGGTGGCTCAGTTGTTGAGTGTCTGCCTTCGGCTCCAGGGTCCAGGGATTGAGCCCCGCATTGGGCTCCCTGCTCAGCAGGAAGCCTGCTTCTCCCTTTCCCTCTTCCCCTGCTTGTGCTCCCTCTCTCGCTGTGTCTCCCTCTGTCAAATAAATAAATAAAATCTTGAAAAAAAAGCATTTGGCTTGGCAGGGTTCATCATTTGCTGATTTTTTTTTTCTTTTTTTATTTTTTTTTAAAGATTTTATTTATTTGAGAGAGAGAGAACGAGAGATAGAAAGCACGAGAGGGAAGAGGGTCAGAGGGAGAAGCAGACTCCCTGCTGAGCAGGAAGCCCGATGTGGGACTTGATCCCGGGACTCCAGGATCATGACCTGAGCCAAAGGCAGTCGCTTAACCAACTGAGCCACCCAGGCGCCCCATTTGCTGATTTCTGCCCAAAGAATAAATTTTATCGTTAGATCGAAGTAGACCTCTGTCTCTGGAACTGAATTGTTTTGTCTGCCAGTGGCCTTTGTTCTGTTGAATCGTACTTTGGTCTCCATAAAGGAGCGTGTAGAAGAGACCGTGTTCTGAAACACCGAGTCGTATTGGTTGTAGGGCAATTGTTGGGGGCCTTGTCCATTATAATAAGTGGAAAAAAGACT